GTGTTTTGCCATCGAGTCGGATCCGACTCATAATGACCCCTTCTTGGGTTTCTGAGGCGGTATCACTTAGGAAGTATATTGCCCAACCTGACACCTCACCAAAATGATAAAACAAAAGTTACTATTCTGATTGCTATCAACGGGGAGACCAGCTGAAAGGCACTCACCTTCTAACTACTCCCTAAATGCCAAGAACCATCTGGTGCTTCTAACATTGTCTTGTGGGTGTAAGTACATTCCTGGTGAAATGTATGGCTTATGTACTTGTTCTTTTTAAGTACATCTAAGAGTTTATGGTCCTTATATAAGGAAACATTATGTGTTTGGTTCCGACTTCGAAGTCCACAGTTCCAGGCCAGTGAGGGAGAAGGAAAAGACAAAAATAGCTTCACTGTGGAAAGTGGAGGCAGGGGTAGATACTGATTTTAAGCAACTGGGTCTGGTCCCAGAGCAGAATATTTGTCTAGGGGCCTGCTCATCAGTGTTCATTTAAGAAAAAGGTCCTTTAGTGCAGGGTGAGGAATAAAGTGGATGAACAGAAAGCTTAAGTTCAAGGTGGCTGGGAAGGAAGGAGGCACGAGAATATAGAAAAGGTCTAGAAATGGGAATTCCTGCTATAGGATATAGGTCCACACATCTGGGAATGTAGTATGAATTGTTCTAAGATAAGTAAGACTGAGAAGCCAAACACATGATGATATGTAGCTTGGAGTTCTGGGCCAATGAGCAATCACTTAGGACAGGCCTCTGGAATATAAGATAAAAGTGCTTCCTCACTTAGGGTCCTTACCTACTACCTAGGAACTACTAATGCAAAGAGGCTCCAAGGAGGGAGCAGGTGCAGAGAATGATGGTCTACTGAACAGTGAGAATGCTTCCTTTCTGGGGCCAAGGCCAGAAAGCCTTTTCTTAGGAACAATGTCAGATTTAGCACAGAGAACAAGCTGGGGACTCAGTTGGGGTTTCTCCACTTCTAACCTCTCTAATAAGGGCAATTTTTCCCATCACTAGGCAGCAGAGTTGAACACAAGCAAGAAGGAAATTAAATCTTTTCAAATAATTAATTTTTCTTCTTTTCCTAGGACACACAGCCCCAAGCACCAGCTGAGACCGTCTTCAATGCTTACAATCTACCTGTACTACCCAAGCAGCTGAATCCAGGACCAGCAAGTATGGAACTTGCTTCTTTAGGCTCTTACGTTATTGACAGGGCCTGACTGGTGACTCTGTACCTGAGCTGATAAAATTCTGGGTCCTGTAAGGTTGGTGTTTTTCTCTGAAATGTAAAAGAAAAGGGAAATAAGATAAATGAATGTGAGAGATACTTTACCTTCAGCAGCTCTCTTAAAGAAGACTTTGCAGCTTCCACAAGTGAGTGCTCCATAGTGACAACCAGAAGCTTCATCCCCACAGATCAGGCAGGTCTTCTGAGGTGGAAAGTAATAGTCGATGGGCAGAGCATGGTCTCTGGCAGTCTCCAAACTAGAAAGACGCAAAATGCAACACATGTCAGTGAGCAGAAAAAAATAAGAGAGCAGAAGTCTGAGGTCATCAGGAGTAAATGTGCAAATTATTATCATTATCATTCAATGCTCAAGAGAGTCAGTGTGAAGCTGCATTTTCCTGAGACTTTTCTGAGGAATAATCTTTGTAGAGTTCTCTGTCATGTAGACAAAACCATTTTGGATCCTTTGGAGGGATTAGGGAAGTTCTATGGGATTATCAATCTCATAGACTATGGCTATTAGAGGTGAGGATATTGGCAGGCAACCTAAAGTTAAAGTACCACACTTAAGGTGGTGATCAGACAGAATCTTTGGAGCAATTAAATGATATGGACCCAGCTCTGTGAATTCTCCTCTTCCAAAGGCAAACCTATGACCAAATCAGACATAGGGAGCAGTTTGATATGTTTACTCTAGCTCTCTGAGCCTTACTCTCATCTGTAAAATAGGGATAATATCACAAATCCTACTCACCTTCTGTTGTGAGTGGCAGTATAAAGCAGACAATGATGTCCTTGGAATGAGTACATAAGTGAGGGATCGGGGTTAGTATGATTACATCAGTCTTCTTTGGTCTTTGTCTATTTTCTTAGCAGTCTCTCTAAATCACATGGACTTCATTCTTCCCTTCTAAAGTAGTAATCCCTTGCCCCTGAGATCGTTATTGAGAAACGATTCACAGTGATGATAGAAATCCCTCAGGCTGCCATCTCAACATTTGGCCATCACAATTCTCATAAGTTCCTCAGACTGCAATAGAGCTTCAGAAGTCACCTAGTCTAATTAATTGCCTACTTCCAAGTAGAACTGTGTCTGAGTCCTTCCATGTGGATGCGAAGAAGTGGTACCAGAAAACCAATCCTAAAACCTTCAAGGAAGGATAATTCTGAATCTCCCATACTAATTCATTCAAGTTTGAATACACAGAACATGATTTTTACTATCTTTTTGCTACCCAAAAGCAAATTTTTATCTCTCCTTTGTCCTAAGTCTAAATGCTAAATAATACTCAAGTGACCTGTGGGTTAATTTGCCTCAGTTAGAAGTGACAATTAACCACACTCTCATACACAGAATGCAATTGCTATATTTTATGATTATTTTTTCTGTATTAAGGAAAGAAGGAAAGAACGACGAAAGGAAGGAAGGAAGGAAAGTAAACTTTAATGGGTGTGTGTTCACTGTATTGAATGACTTCATTACCTCAGAACAACGTTATGAGACATGTTTATTTTCTCATTACCATGTCTATTATACAGATGAATAAAATGAGACTCTGAAAGGAGAAGTAAAGGACTGTCTGACTCCAAGTCCTATACAGTTTCCACTACCCTACTGTCTTCTCACTATTCACCTTTAATTTCTGGCATGGCCTTTTTTTTTAACCTAGGTTTGATTCCAAATACCTGCATTTTTTTCGCTGACTTTCAAATTTCTTTTCTTCTTTACCTCACCCCCTCAGGTTTTTAATTTCTGTTTCTTTATTTTCATTGTGCTTTAAGTGCAAGTTTACAGAGCAGAATTTGTTTTACATTCAACATTACGTGTACATTTAGTTTCACTCCCCATTTACCATCGCCAACCCTAACTCAGTCTCCTCCCCTTCCTGCCCAGTAACCCTCCCCCCATGCCCCTCATAGTTATACACTCCTGTGTATCCTGCATCTCCTCCCTGCAAATGTTGTTGCTCTGGTGCTCCATGGTCGATTGCTCCAAGGGATGCATTTCCATAGAGTATGTGGGTGCATCACCTTGGGTTGAGTTGTCTGTGTGTACATCTTGTTTACTATTGGGTTGAGAGTCAGTGCCTGGGAGTGAGCTTTATTCCAGGCCCAGAATGTATCCCAGAACCATAATATTGTGGGTCTCACCAGACTACATCTGACCAGTACTTCTGGTCCTTATTGAGTTTTTGGATTTTGTTCCACATTTTTCTTCTCACTCTATCCAGGATCTCCAGATTTGATCCTTTCCAGAGTGCTTGGCATTGGTAGCCAGGCACGATCTAGATCTTCTGGTCTCAAGGGCCATCTTGTCCTAGGGCTGATTGTTTCCAAATGACCTCGATTTTTTGCATCCTTCTTTGCTTCTGATGATAGGAGATCATAAGCTGGATCTTAGATGGTTGCTTGAAAGCTTTTAGGACCCCAGTCACTGCTCACCAATGCAGGACGAGGAACAAGTCTTTTATGTATTTGGTTGTGCCAATTGAGTCTGATGTCCCCCAGTACTATGGTCCTGAGTCAGTAGATCCATTGGATCTCTCTCCCACAGTGTCTGGCTGTTTGTGAGGGATAACTTTATGTCTGTTTTCTGTTGTTCCTGTAAGGATTGCAGGTATTTTGTATCATTGGTATCTGTGCAAGATTAGCCTCTGCTGAATCTATCCTTAATCTAGAGTATACCCCTGTTCACTGAACCCCATCTGATCCTCTCCAATGTTTATGTATTTATCTGTAGCCTGGTGTTTGATGTTAAAGGTAATGCAATATTGTGGATATACTGCTTGGGATTAGCATCTGTCATCTATCTCCTGTGTGCACAATTCAGTGTCCTCCTTTTTCTTAATGTCATCATGGTGGTCACAGACTTTTTATACCATCCCTCCCCTTACCCACATGACCATGGCTCTTCGGCTATCATGCTCAGCTTTTTTCAAAATCCAAAAAGGTACAAAAGGTTATCCACCACTCAACCCAAGTGAGCAGCCTTGGCAGAGTGAGTATGAAGAAAGCTTTCATTCAAGCTACACTTGGTAAAACATTTTGTCTCCATACACAAATATTAGCCTTTATTTGAGCCCCAAGTATGAAAGACAATGCTCAAAAAGTTCTGCTGACATGCAAACTCAGTGGCTGGCTATGATGGCCTCTCTTTTCTCCCCACAAACCTTCCCTTTCCTACTCTAAACAGAAAGCTAGCAGCTGTCTAACTACAAAACCAATGCTACCAGGGTCACAGGTTCCACAAGAAAGGGACTCACAATATGCAAATTGTCCAAATGCTAAGAATGGCATTCCTTTGGCTAAAAAGTGTGCCCTATTCCCAGGAACAGTCAGCCACAGGGACCCAGGTGGGGGGGATACGAGAGGTCTCCAACAGCAGGACAAACTTGTCTGTTGGTTTGTCCTACTGTGGTGACATGTAGATGTGAGTTTTGAGGCTGAGCCTCTGGTGTTTAAAACCCAGCGAGATGCACCTGGTGCATAGGTA